CTTCTTCTGAGTTCAGCTTGGGAATTAGTGTACAGATGTCAAAAGTCACTCTGCATACCGGGCAAGTCTGTTCTGGTATGATGCAAGACGTGCTTTTGGTAGGGGCAAGCAGGACAGAAAGGAATTGCATGAGAAGCAACATGAGCAAAGCTATTAGCCACACTGCAGCTGGGGCTTTGGTGGCTTGGGGAACTGGGGAGCACTGGCCTTTCCATGTTTCCTTCTGGATGCTTCAGACGTGACCTCCCCACACCCCAGCATACTACCTCAGTCTTCTACATTGGCCAAGCCAGAAACTGGCTTTTGGGTAATGGTCAAATTCACAGCATGGAGAGTGGGAGAGAGTATTTGTATCTGGGGAACACCTAAGCGTGACAGCCGTTGATTCCTAATTCAGTCCAGGTTTACAAAACATGCAGTATGTGAACAGAAAGAATGAATTAATCCAGGACAAGCTTAAACCTGACATATATTTCCTGGAACCATGTATCAGGCTCTTAATTTTCCAAACATCATTTTCCAGTCCTTGTTTTGAAGAAAAGCTCACACCTGGAAAGCATGGTCCCAGTATAACAGATACAGACTTATCCATCTCAATGTAGGGTGACCTAAACCAGCATATCTGAAAAGAATGACGGTTCAGTAGAAGACAACCACCTACCTTTACCTATCTAAACACGTATATGCTAACTGCCATACTTAGGACCCCTGACTTTTACATTGTTGTTACTAAGAAGGCAGGTTCCCATCTTCTCAGAGAATACATTAACCAACTATAGCAGCATATTCTGAGACAGAGCACCATGCTACAAACTGATCAGGCAACTGATGATCTTGTCCTAACTTATTCTTAACACAAAAAGCATGAGAACTGACAGAGTTGTGTCCTGAAATGGCAAACTGAATAACCACATGGTTCAACTGGAACAACCTCAAAGGGAAGAAACTTTAAATGTTTGTATCAAAAAAAAAAAAAAAAAAAAAAAAAGAAAAGAAAAATCAGCAGTTTGAAGAGATTCCAATATGGTTTGACAGTGCATCATGCTTGGTGGTCTGTGAATATTAAAACATGCAATGAATTATTCAGTAATGAAAGGGTATACACTTACCTCTGCCACTGCAGTTCACCCTATAGCCATGTACAGGACCTTTTGAACTGTTACTAGGTGCGTCCCAGCTAACTGTCACATGTGTTTTATAAGATTGTACTGTAAGGTTTTTCGGTTTTTCTGGAGCTGTTGTAAAAGAAAAATAATGGGGAGGGAAGGAAATGTTTGAATGAAAATGCAAAATATTCCTCTTTCTGCCTACTTTGATTGAATTAAATTTCATTGGATACTAAAACAAGATACCAACAAGATGTAATATTTTTTCATAGTCCATTTCATTCAAAGAAATTATACATAAGTGTAAACTGAGTATATGTAAAAGCATCATATTAATTTCATAAATTTAATTAATTCATCACAAGTTAAATACAGCAAAACCACATATTACTAAAATTGTCCAACATTTCCAAATGTTTGATTTCCTCATAATTTTAACAAACTTTATATGTTTGGCCTGAATTTTTATTTGCAGGTTACTTGATTTAGGTTGATTTCCTTTTTAATTCAGAAATAAAAGCTAAGCTATTTCCAAGGACAATGTTTCGGAAAAACACATCATTTTATCTGGAGACATTCTTTACAATCATTGTATCACACCTTGCTTCAAATCAAGAATTTAACACTTGTTTTTGACTAGGCATGCACTTTTTTTTTTTCTTCATTCAAACTTCCTTACATTTGGCCATGTTCATAGAATCATAATCGCTTAGGTTGGAAAAGACTTTTAAGATCATCAAATCCAACCGTTAACCTAACCCTGCCATACCACCACTAAACCATGTCCCTAAGCACCACAGCTACCCGTCTTTTAAATACCTGCAGCAATGGGGACTCAACCACTTCCCTGGGCAACCTGTTCCAATACTTGACAACCCTTTTGGTGAAGAAATTTCTCCTAATATCCAGTCTAAACCTCCCCTGGCACAACTTGGGGCCATTTGCTCTTGTCCTATCACCTGTTACTTGGCAGAAGGGACAAACATCCACCTCGCTACAACCTCCTTTCAGGTAGCTGATAAGGTCTCCCCTCAGCCTCCTTTTCTCCAGGCTAAACAACCCCAAGTTGCCTCAGCTGCTCCTCATAAGACTTGCCCTCTAAACCCTTCAGCAGCTTCATTGCCCTTCTCTGGACATGTTCCAGGACCTCAGTGTCCTTCTTGTAGTGAAGGGCCCAAATCTGAACACAGTAGTCAAGGTGCAGCCTCACCAGTGCCAAGTACTGGGGACAATCACTTCCCTAGTCCTGCTGGCCACACTATTTCTATATACAAGCCAGGATGCTATTTGCCACTTGGCACACTGCTGGCTCATATGTTCTCACTCTCAAAAAAAAAAAACCAAGAAATCAGAATCTCTGAAAGGAGACTGGAAGGCTGAGACTGGGGCCGGAGAGGGAAAGGAAGACAGTGACTGCAGTCAAAGAACAACCACAAGGGCAGGAGACCAGGCAGGAGGAGCTGGCGGAGAACCTGAGAGTGGCCGAGCATGCTGCTCAAAATATATCTTCAACCCCAGGAAACACAGATAGTGGGATTCATAGTAGGGTCTTCCAGAAATATGTGGAACATGAAGCAAAAATAAGCATTACACTTACCACCATAATCTGTCTCAACACAGAAGTGGTGGTTGTGAATCTCTTCGAAAAACTGTACAGTACCAGTGCAGTTGTACTGACGGTTGGGTGATAAAGCATTCAGATATGTACAAGTTGAATTTTCTGTAATGTTTGGGGTCTGTAGATCTACAGGATCGGTAGACACAAAAAGAGTTTTATCAATATTTTCCACAACTCCAAAAGTATATAGTACCATTCTAACTGGAATTTTCTCTACCATACTTATTCAATATATTTTGTAATAAATTATCATAATATTCCAAACAGAAGTGTACAACCTCATCCAATGACTAGGGTTTAGGTTCTCCGACACTAACTTAGTTTGCATAAATCTTTACTTTTCATCAGTAAAGCTCACGTGATCTGACTTTCTAAGAAAACAGCTTCCCCACAGAAATCAAACCATGGCAGAACCATAGAGTGGCTTCTTAACTCTTCAGCTCCCTGAAACCTGAAATCTCCAGACATTCATTTTTCTGGGACACATGAGGACATTCAGCATCCATATCTTCCCTAGCACAGTAGTTCTCTTTGAGCCAGCATCTCCTCAGGCTGGCCGGCACCAAGAGCAGAGAGCCTGGACTCGCTATTCAGGAACCTGCAGAGCCAGCTGCTTGGGTAGTCTACAAGGAATCAGCTCACAGCAGACTCACAGACGCAGGATCTCCAAACTCTCAGCTCCCCTTCAAACCATCAAACAGGACCTCAAAATTTTCAGAAGTTTGCAATTTGCAAAGCTGGTAAACTGAGGAAATGCGCTCTCTGGCTTCAAACTTTTTCCCAGATTTGCCCTGTGTTGGGATGGTAGTCCCCAGCCTGGCAATCCCAGAAATTCTGAACAGCTCAGCCTCAAACTGGGACAATTAATCTAAATCTGCCACTCATCAAAAGACAGCATCAACATTGCTTTTTAAAATAAATAAATAATCAACTTTTAAATATCTTAGGAGTGTCTTACCTTTACAGCTAAGAGTCACATTAGCACATGCAACTGACTTTTGCCAACATACCACTGCAAATGTGCTGTCATTAACCTTAACTTCAAAAGGATTTGTGCTGTTATCTGAAAAGGATTAAGATTATGTAAATGTCACTGTGACATTGGCTATATTGATTCTTTAAATAGCAATTTGTTCTTTTATATTTGTTGACTTGTTCTGCAATACGAAGATACAACTAGCATAGAATAACATACAAAGAATTTAACAAGAAATGGAAAGTAAAAATTGAAAAAGCCTACATGAAATAAAGACAATGCTGGTATTCAAACAATAAATGCAATTTTTAATCCAACACTCTCTTTAGAGAACAAAACATCCAGTATAAATAGTAGTATTCAAGTGCTGGATAGTTTGCTATTGCTAATCATGCTGCATATGGCCAACGTAGTTTAAGTGCCCTGTTTTTCCTTTGCAATAAGAAAATTACATTTTTTTACATCCTACTTTAAGAAAATACTGAGATGTTTTAAGGTGCAACTTCAAAATGCAAAATATCTTGCAAACCAAGCACAAATTATGAAAAACTGTTGTCTGAAAAGAGACAAGAAAAGACTAAGAAATCCAGGAAAGCTGAGTTACTGAACACAAAAAAAAAAAAAAAAAAAAAAAGAAACTACTAAAATATATACCTACCAGGCGGAATACGAAGATATTTGTCCGAGCAATTTCTACCTTTAACTGTAACTCTGTATTCCTTGCATCTCAGAAGTGGTATTGTGCTGGAATTCACATTTATGGTCTTGTTAGGCCCCCAGATAAAATATTCTCTGCTATTTCTGAGATTCGTCAATGTAACGTTAGCCATGTTATTCTGATCTACATTTTGTATGCTGAATTGAATACGATCTAACAGAAAAAGATAAAATAGCAAATAATGATTTTATGAACCAAGCAAATGACAATTTTTAAGAACCATTAAATGTTTTATGGCTCCCCCAGCACCATATGTGTCTTAAGATGTAGAAAATACAGAAACATTAGCTACTCCTTATTCTACTTTTTTTTATTTATTTGTCTTTTACCTTAAAAAATTGTTTAGTCAAAAGAGAAAATTTCCTTTGGAAAATATTCTTTTAAATAATCCTCTAGTTAGGAAACCTAAAGAATTAAAAAGATGAACATTCCAGAAACAGATTTGCATTAATTTAAGATGTCAGTTCAATGTGAAAGACTTTGTTTTGACATATTGAATAATTTCTTTGAAAAGAAATTTCAAATATTCTTCTTCAAAGTGTTTCACAACCATCTAGTAAATAACGGCTGTAGACTATTCCTGCAAATTAGCAAGGAGAGGTCTCTAACTCTGAAGAGAGGTAAACTAATATCCAAACTTTATTTTTCCTTTAGCTATGAATTGTAGTTCACAGCATGTGATTATCAGCATGATGGGGAAAAATTAAGAAAGCCTAAAAAAGATCTGCAGGCAGATCTTTTCTGCAGGCCTGATATGAACAGCCGAGTGCAGGGCAATTTAACAGAACTGTAAACAGAGATGAGAAGACCAGAAATGTTAATAACTTTGATCCTACTCTTCCAGAATTGGAAGACAGTTTATAAAAGAACCTGAGATGCTAACTGAACAGTTTTACTGATCAGTTTTCTGTATTTAAGTTTACTGATTTGCACAAATTTCAGAACTGAGAAAAATAAGGGGTTTGGTTCTTACCACAAGGGTCTTCAGTTGTTGTCATGGAAGAACCTATAAGAAAAGAAAACAAAATAAAGGTGTAGCTCAGCAGGTTTGGGGTTTTTTCATAGAGCATTGGAGGAGGGTGACTGGTACTGCCCCAAACTCTTTATTCAATATGTTCAATACAAGTAATTGCGTTTAGCACTCCACTCACATTTGAGAAAAGGAAGAAAACATAAGCTACATGTAACACCATTTTTTAACTAGTTATTTTAGGGATCATGTGTCTTTCACCATTTTTCAATGACATCACTGACTACAAATCAATCTGGTTATTAATAACACTTCTGCATAGAAAGTTACACAAGAATATTCCAAAATCACACATTCTTATAGCAGTATGATTAGCTATAGCAGTTTCCCGAGATAAGTACACTGTGGAATGGCTAAATGAACAGTATCCAATGTCACTAAAGAAACAAAATTTACCTACTTTTTGTGCAGCTACTCTTACCTTTGGAAAGAGATTTATGCAACAGTACAGATCATTGTATAACTATTTTTACACTGAAATACCCAAAAGAAATTACGAGCTGGTATTTAGAAAACCTGTATGGAAGCCTGAAAGAAGAACTTCAGCCTGAAAACAATTACATAAAATATCTCTCCAGGCTGGGAATCATCTGGCTGAGTAGTGCCCCTAGAGACAGGGTAAACTGAGAGAGTCCAGTGGAGAGTTACCAAGATGGTTAAGGGCAGAAGATCCACAAGTCAAAGCTAAGCTCAGTCTGTCAACGAGCTGACAGCAGCCTACAGCTACTTGAAGGGCAGTTACAAAGATGGTAAGAGTTCAACTCCTGGATGTACTTTGCTCAAGCACACACATATTTTTCTGACCTGAATAATTTCTTACAGCTCAATTGCAATAATAATGCGCGTAAGTGCTTGCAATATTAGATCCCAAGAAAACATTAATGCCGAGTGAAACAGAAGGGAAGCCACCAGAAAACAGAGAAGCATACAGATCTGTGGATGTATTCGTAGCTTTTTGCTGCTTGGGCAAATTTCTGTGAATATCAAGAGGAGTACTGACACAGTAATTGACAGATTTACCCTCCTAGTATGCCACTATATGGAAATAATTGCTATTTTTCACTTGCTTGACAAGTAGCAAATCTGGTATCTTTAATATTACTCATGAACTATTAATAAGATTCTTAAAAACACCCTTAAGTTTAATGCAGTTGTATGCCTAAATTGTATGTTTAACTTTGATAAAAGAAATTCAGAACAAATTCTCTCATTCTAACACATTTTCCGTGCTTGCAGTATCATAATTGCGATAACTGTGTGCAAGTTTGTCACCTATTGTGAGAGTGGGGGTGATCCCAGTGTTTGTTGGCGTGCTGACTGGTGAGGTGGTGCTGTGCAAGGTTGTTGAATTGTAATCATCTGTAAGGAAATAAACAACATATCAGCATTAAAAATTAAAATTCATTATTTCATATGGCCATGTCATCAGAAATGTGTTATATTATAGCCCTTCTCTGCTTTTTTTTTTTTTATTTCTGGGATTTTTGCAATTTAGAGAAGACTGCTGAAAGAAAAATGATGTTAATATATCAAATAAGACAGAAAATTATTATTTAAATAGAAAGCAAGATTTTAGGACTATACCACTTACTAATAGATCTTGCAATGTACAAGAACAATTTTTTGGTCATTATTTAGGCATAATCCAGGATGGAGTCAACATCAAAATGTCATTAATAATTGTGAACTGGGAAAAACTAAAACATTTTCCTATGTTCTTACAGTAAAACACAGTTATGGGTAGTGCTTGTGCTCCTTCAGAAACAAGCACTCCAGCAGTGTTCGTTTGCTCACTGTATTACTTGCTATATCTCAGTATTCACCTCCCTGCTTATAAATCACTGACAGGTTTCTACATTCTCTTTTAGGTCCATTCCTATTGCTCTTGCTTTGGCAACAGCCTTGTTGACAGCAGCTGGCATTTTGATCCTACTGTGATGACTACAAGACTTGGCCATCAGATACCAGATCCTAGAAATAATTCTGGTATTCCCACTACGCCAAATTTCATATACCTTTTCTATCTGATGAACGATAAGATGGAAAAGGCTACCCTGAGGCTGAATTACTTAGTTTTCCCCTGCAGTAATTATTTAGTTTTCCCCTACAGTTCAGAGAGCAGCGAGCGGCACCTAAAGGAAGACAGCAAACCTGATGAAGCATTCTTGAAGGCAATGGGAGTGCGTGTGGTGAGGGCAGCAGTGCTGCTGAGTGTTGGGTTGCTGAGTCCCATGGCAGGGACGGAGCCTGCGTGCGTGGGGAGGTATGGGCTGTCTGCAGGAGAGACACCTGTGGTGAGAGGTACAGCAGTTTCGTTAATGCTTCAGAGGCTGCCCAGTCAAGGAGGGACACAACACAGGACTGCTATGATGGAGCACTCTTGTACTGAGGCACTGGGAATTCATTAGTAAGCAAAGGCACACAAACCCCTCAAAGTGTTAGGGCGTCCAATAGATGTCAGCTGAACATCCAGTAAGTATAACCCCTTTTGGCGCTGACTGCACCTCTTTCAAGGTAAATGTGTTTTAAAATATACTCAAATTCATGACTCAAAACCAGACTTGTCTGATATTCTTGCCTCTTAAGACAGCATATTTCATTTTATTGGGCTGAATAAAAAGGCATTACACACTCTGCAAGATAACTTGCACAGGAAAAGGAAAGAAGAAATGATCATAAAAAAAATCAATGCAGTTCTGTCATGTAAATTAAAAGTTTCTTACCAGGTGTAGTTGCTGTTGGCTCATCTCCTTGAAAACAGAAAGAGAGAGAGAAAGCATAAATTAAACTTCCAAGGAATTAAACACAGTCATATGTCAAAAATATAAAAAGAAACATTCTTTCCTCCCAACTATTGGCTGAGCTTTCCCCAGGGAATTACACATTCTTAAGTAATATTTAGTGGCATGTAGCAACAACCAGACCCCTGAAATATCAAGCATATGATTTGCGGACTGATATTGCCCACATTAAAAATCACTTTTCCTTGAGCCAGGAGTCTGTGCTGTGCAGGTTGAGGGATAGAGATAGCATCAGGAAGGCTGCAGTGGATGCCAATTCAGCTGAAACAGAAGAGCAGCAATGCCACGGTCACGAATTCACCGTTACCTTCAGCAGTGCCTGGAGGTGAGAGTGCTGTGGAGCGTGCAGGTGGAGATGACATAAGAGAGGGAGAGCTGCCGTTTGCTACATTTTCATCTCCTGCTGCAGTGGGGAAAAAATATCATCAGGTGAGCAATGCATGAAAGTGAGAACCTCATTGCAAGCAGAAAGGCTGCCAGGTGCTCTCTGAATTACATTTCTTCCTCCAGCACTGGCAAAAAGAAAACATTTACATTGCTCTCCGGTTCTTGCACAGTCTGTGCAATACATCTGCTTGGATTTATTGCAGGAGCATGGCTTGCAATTAGGTCTGCAAGACCACTAATTCCAATTTCCCACCAATTTGCCTGGGATGCCTTTGTGATGAAGAGATTTGATCATCCTTAAGCAAGGTGTGGGGGATGCACTGATTTGAGTTGTTTGAAAACACCAGCTAAAGGGGGTGAATTACTGTGCAGCTTGCAAAAAGCCCAGACCGATTGGAGTGGGTTTGGTTTGTGTTGTTGACCCAGGAAGGACCCTCTTCCCACAATCATTAAATACTGCTGTGGTGCCCAAGGAGCTCTGCATGAATCGCAGGAAAGTGCCACTCTGACAGCTCAGCACGAAACTCTCATCGGAAAACTCAAGGGGAAGAGGTGTCCATAAGGAAAACATGAATTCGTAACAACAGCATGTTACAGCTTGAATTCTAATCACTTTCTTCAAAAAGCGTGTTTCAAATACCCACCTTTGATTTAATAAAAAAAACTAAATGTGTCCTCATCACATAAACAAATGTTGCTGTAATATAATTGACCTCAGACAACATAAATCACCACATTGCTTTAACAGTGATGGTATTAAACAATGTATGATAGAAGTAGATGCCCATTCGGCTAAAACAGGAGAAAATCAGCAGTGCCGCAGTCCTGAATTCACCGTTACCTTCAGCAGTGCCTGGAGGTGAGAGTGATGTGGAGCGTGCAGGTGGAGGTGACGTAAGGGAGGGAGAGCTGGTTTTTGCCACATTTTCATCTCCTGCTGCACAGTGGGGAAAAAATATCATCAGGTGAGCAATGCATGAAGGTGAGAAGTTCATTTACAGTAGAAAAAGGCCAATGGTTTGTATGGCTTTCTCTGAACCATGATTCTCAGAACAGATTTGACTGGAGTATACTTAAATGTTTTCATGTTTAACAACCTATTTTGCAATACCAAAAGCTAAAACCCTCGAAGTCTTTCGCATTGTCACACAGCAGTGTATACAAGTACACACAATATCAACAAATAGAGGGTGACTTTTTCTGAATGAAGAATGGTTTTATTGCTAAGAAGAGATATCAGCACTAATTCTGCCTGCGGTCAATAAAAATCCTACCTGTCTATAATCCTCACTATGGAAGAGCTGGAAAGCCAAGCCACAGCATTCCTGAAAGCCGTTTATTTTCCCTAATATTTATTTCTAAATGGCAGCACCCTTCCTGGACCATCCTTCTGGTATTTAAGAATCTGTCCAAATAACTCTTATCTCCAAGTTATAAATTACTCCCTGACTTGAGCTGGGAGCTATGATCTTTTTGCACCTATAAAAACAAGCCTCATTTTTACACTCTGCTTTGAAATCCTGACCCAAAACATTTTGTATTTGTGTAATGTGAAATTTCTGTTCTGAGAAAGAGAGACAAAAATAAATGGCAACGGTGGGAACCATGAGTCTGTTCTTATCACTGCATCTTTTACTCTTCTTGAGGATTAGAAGCTTCCACTTTGGCACAAGAATCCTGAAAGCTATCCTGAAAGCACGCCTGTTCCCTTAAGGCATCACTCTCTAACATAGCCTGCTATGCTTTCAGCAAGGAACAAGCTTCCACTTGTTCACACGTTCCTTGCTAGGACTGTCCACAAACTTGCATCAGCCTGTTTTGTTCTTCCTTTCTCTCCCTTTTTCTTCTATGTGTTTCCCACTATGTTTATTTCCTGTTGGGTTTTTGGTGGGGTTTTTTTTTGGCATGCGTGTTTTTCAGACAGTACTTCACTGTTTATAATTTCTCTGTTACTTCAGCTTCCCTATACACTACTTCACAACTGTTGTGGCTCTACTCTTTTGAAAAATAAATTCCTTCCATGTTTAAAACAAAAATCCAGGGCTATGTGAAAAAAACTTCAATAGTTATGAAGAATACATGTTCTGTTGCCCTGTTCATGTGCCAGGGTCAAACCCATGTCTCTCATCTCTGACACAGAAAGCTCAACGTAGGCAGATCTCCCGGGACCCCAAAGATCTTCTCCTTATCGACCCAACAAGCAACAGCATGCATGTTGGCTGCTCAATAGCAACAATGGATTCTGCATCCCACATGAACAGTTCAGAAGACCAACAACAGCCATTAAAAAAACATGCCCAGTGACGACAAAGTCACCTGTGGAGAGAGAGAAATTTCTTTATGCTCACAACTGCCATGAAATGTGCATAAGCCATGATATAAAAATTAATGTAAACAAAAGCTAATATCTTGCAAGTACTTTCCTAGTGAGCAGTTGAATTCATTGTGGTATGTACATTATTCAAGATCTGTTCCTACAAATTAAAATTTGGAAAAAGCCAGCAGTCAGGTATTTTAAAGACAAAGTATCAACAGAAGTCAAATGAAACTCAGTAATGCAGAACTAGCTCCTTCATTCTTCATGTATAGAAGTGGGGAGGTGTGTTGCCTAAAATCTGGTCCAGGACATGAGCGTATGGGCCTGCCTATAGTTTGTCTGAAATCATGTGAAACTGTCAAAATAAAATTGCTCTTAATTGTAAGAATATAATCTATAAAAAAATGTAGTAGACTGACAACAGACTGAATAACATGGGTTTAGAAGCCACTGTATCAGCTCTAGGATGTTAACCCGTTTATCTATATATATATCCACTGAAAGACAGGATCACGTATACTTTTCAGAGGTACAGAATGTTAGCAGATGAAGCTTCCTAACCTGAGAGATGTTACAGATAAGAAACAAAAATACAGATGATGGTTTGACCTATCAAGGTACCTCCAGCACCTGAAATCTCCATTAAGAACTGGAACATTTATTAACAGCAAATGTATATATTAAACTGCAAAGGAACCTTTTAAAAGCTAAAATTTATATTCATTCATATTCATATTTGCCATGAGCACTTAATTTTCAATGTATCTTCATGTTTTCAAAGTTAGTGTTTGAAAGCAGGTAGTTGGTCACTCTAAATTGGCTTATCAGCTGAAGAATCAATTATTCCGCCTCCTTCCCAAACTGTACTTTGGTTCAGCACATTTAATATACCTCAAACCCAAAATTAACTTTCTGTGAGCATCTACACAGATCAACTTGCACTTAAATAACCATTTCCAAGAAAAGAATAAACGGACTTTCACAAAAAGTCCTAATGAAACTCTGCTCAGAGATTAGTGATACATTTAGAAATATTTTTAGCTTATTTACTGATCTCTAATACAAACATGATGGAGACAAATATATATATTTCAAGATTCCCTCTTCCACATGAAGTAAGATAATATGAGCAAGACAGGGGTCATAAGGTTGTCACAGTGCTGTATGTCTGGTTGCCTCATTCACTTCCTTAAGATTCCTGTAAAAGTAATTTTCCCCATCCTCTTCGTTGTAAAGCTAGGAATAATACTACTAGCTTAAACATAGCATGAGGTTTAATGCTCACTCACGGTGACAGACATTACACGTAATCATAGAACTCGAGGTTGGAAGTGACCTCAAGTGGTCATCTAGTCCAACTGCCAAGCTCAGGCTAGTGTCAACTAGAGCAGATCACTTCTTAAACCACTTTGGAAAATAACAGTCCTTGATTGACCTTTTTTCCCCTCCAAATAAACACTGGCATTTTAACAGAATTTCATGGCAGGTTTATGTCCTTCTAAGCATTTTAAAGGTCTCCTGCTTTTCTATGATTCTCTTCTACGATATGATTCATTATAGCAATGAAATAGGATGCAGTGGAAAAGAATTCAATAGGTGGCACCAGAACACTAAAAAACTCTCCTCAAACAGCAAAGCAGATACATTTCCCCATTTAACCTTATTGAAAGATGCTAGGTAAACTGAAGGAAAATGAAGAAGGATCCCAACACACCAGACTCCGTTACTCCAATATTAAATAGGCATATTGCTACAATTAATTTATTTTTCCTAAAATGTCCCACATTAACAAATATGTCTGAGCTAACCTTGGGTTAAGAAAGTTAACCTCAAAGTCAAAACCGTCTGCTCATGTTTATATTCTAAAACATATCTCTGGAATCTTAGAATATTTTTAAAATGTAATAATGATATCCAACCCCCAAAACACATGCCGTGTGGTATGAAAGCCTGATGCAAGTTGATCTGGGTTTAAATAGGAACATATCCCAAACCTTTTCTCAAATCTTAAACTGCATCCAGCTATAAGACATTTTTAAGATGTGCAGCATAGGCTCAGATAACCCAAGTGGAAGAACTGAAGTATACAAAAAGCTCCTACCACTGAAGTAACTTTTCTAAACTTCCCTTTCCCTTCTCTTGATTTGGCCATTTGGATCAGATCTGGCCTTAGTCAGGTGCCCTGCAAAAAGATACAACCAGCATATCCCACAGGGAGATGGGAGCTTGGCTAGTCGCTTTCGTTCCCTTTCCTCTTACTACCAGTTGGCAGACAGAGCGCAGCTGCCGCTTTAAAGAAAGGTTTTAGATGGGGTGACAGGCTGCCAACAAAATACACCTAAACCAGATGAGCCGATCACCCTTTCTACTGAAGGCTTAAAGACATACAGGCCCTAGGAGTGGAACATGGACTACCGCATTTTGAAGAAACCTTTCAATGTTCAACAAGAAGAGTAAATGGAAAAACTGTGAAAGAAACCAGGCCGCGAAAAAAAAAGCCAAACACTTCAAACCCCAAGGACAGCAGGCTGTACAGGTCACATTTGGAGGTACAGGAGCTGCTATATCACCACTGCAGTTGTGACTCTGCACTTGCTGCAGTGAACTGTGGTCATACCTGTGTAAGAAGTTACTGCTTGCCGCTGTCCTCTCAGGAAAGAGAATAAAGTGAAAATGCTTTCCACTTGGCAGGACCAAGCGACTCAACAGAGAACTCAGACCTAGGATATGTTAAAAGACACTGTGTTCCCAGTAAGTCCAGTCTTAAAAGCGTCCAATGTGGCGGAGTCAACCACTTCCCTGGGGAGGTTATTCCAATGGTGGACTGTTCTCATGGTGAAAAATTTCCCTCTCTTGAATTGGAATCTCCCCAAGAGCAATTTGTGTCCATTCCCCCTTGCCCTCTCCATGTGACATCTCTTTTGCATGCCGGTAGCTCAGGCAAGTGCTGCAGTATTGCATTTCATGATACACACAGCATAGAGAAATGTGGAAAGGAGGATCCCTTTCTGCTAATAGTGCATTTGGTGTTTTATCTAGCGTGGTACCACACCAGCTAGCTCTTCGCATCCAGCTGCACTCCGCATGTCTTTGCCAGACCTGGGGAGGGGACAGAGGAAGTAATCCTTCCTCTCAGCCTCATGTCTGCAAAACCATTAGCAGCCAGGTTTTTCTGCCAGGAAAAATGCTTAGTGATTCCGCAGAGCTGCTGCCCTTTTCCCAGGATCTCTCCACCCTTCAGCATATTGGGCAGGCACCACCAACCCCCACCGAGCAGCACTTCACACAAAGCAGCTAGTCTAGGTCAAGATTCTGTCTTCCCTCTTTTTACAGCTGAACAGCACTGCTTCATCAGAGCTCTTCACATCTGCACAGAAAGCAACAGGATGTGGTCTACTTCTTCAGATGGAGTAAAGCTCTTTGAGGGGGTCTTCTAGCAAACAGCACAGACATTAGTCAGCTCCACTGCAAGCCAATACTAAATTGCAAAAAAAGAACAGTTCCTGGTGGGAGGTGAAGGGTGAGTAAGGCAAGGAGCCTTACAAAATGCTGCCAGCCGCCCTTCTTTGATTTATTTTTAAACTTCAAGTGGGATAGGATGTAATTCACACCTACTTTAA